AATTAATTCAATCAGCTAGGAAAATAATTTAAACATGAATAGTAACAAAAACGATAAGTATTAAGTATTATGTTAAAGTAATAGCGGTTTCATGTTTGACATTTGAAAATTGGTGTTGCCATTTGGGAACTTATACGAAACTAGGTGACATTATGCAAAATTAAATATATATGTAAAATTTACGTGTTCATTAAAAAACAAAAATTTTTTTAATCGAGTTTCAATTCTCGTAATATTTTGATTTCTATAGTTCATTTCTATTTTTTTTCAGCGCCATCTATCTAACAATTTGTTACAACACCATTTTATCACGTACTTCACATCGTCGCTATGGGATGGCACTGACACACAATAATTTTATAAAAACTTAATCTGCGCTTAAACTTTGCTTAAAAATATTATAGGTACATTAAAATATAAAATTACACACCAAGAAAAACAAATTTATTTATATCAAAATGTCGTAAATGAAACTATGTTAAGAAGAAAAAGTCATTATAAACATCAAGATTGAGGTACGTCTTTCACTAATTTCATGGTAACGTTAGGAAATATGTAGAGCTTGCCCACATCAAAGCGACGGCTGATGCAAAAGGCGTTGTATTTATCATAAGCCATCGTCATTCCCAAAAAAGTAATTGAAAATATACAAACAATCAGTAAAGCGCAAATAGCGGGGCAAAGGATTGCGCTGAGCTTATTGACTCGTCGAGTTGGATCAATGGAGCCTATTTCCGAATCAGTGTTACTATTATCCAAACTCTTCGTCATATCTGAAAAAAATAATAAAATCTTCTGTATTCAGTATTTCATAATTATACTTTATTTCATTGTTACTAAAATAAAATCATGGTGACATTATTTTAAAAAAGCATGTTGAAAATAAAACATTAGTCGGAAATAAATCTAGATCAAGATCTTAACATTAAAATAAAGTCAAAATAAAGAAAGAACTTACTTTATGTTTCATTAAAATAATTTCAAAATTATTTTTCACACCGCAAAGAAGAAGGAAACATCTTGAATGTTATTTGAGTTCTTATGACGTTTTAATTTATTTTTTTTAAAGAATGTTTCTGCTATGACATCAAGAACGCTATTATTTGACTTTATTATAAAATAAAACAAACTCAAATTTTACCGTCCTTATACGGTATTTAAAAATTTATATACTAATAAAAATTCTTTATCGAAATTGGAAACTCGGGTTCCAAATTCCTTTTTCTAGTGTTTATTCCACAGCTTAGCCGATAGGATATAAGTATTTAACAAATTATATATTGGGCCTGTTGCATACTATAATTAAAGAAATAAACATACTTGAACGAAAAATTTAACTTAATAAATAGAATTGCAATCAAAAATATCTTAACTGAAATAACGAACTCTTTCCTTAAGTTAAAAATATATATTTAATTATGACCGAATCATTTCACTAAAATTGCTGAGCAATAAATATGTCATTTCATAAAAATACATTCCTTAGAGATTAATTTCTTAAGGATAAAAGATTACATCGTATACATCCTCTTTAATTCATTCTGTATTGCGATCGGAATAAACTTTGAGTGGTATAAAATGACTTGTCAAAAAAAGAAAATTAATGAACTTACACAATTTGAAGAACTTGAAAGACAAAAGAAATTAATTGCCTTATTAATTTCTCGAAGACCGAGAAATGAAATTATTTTTATATTTCGTCGTTTATTCCGTTATAACTTTGGTTCTTTTTGCTACGTTTCTGTATTTAATGACGGTGGTTGATCCCGGTTTAAAGGATCTATATAACAAGGCACTCAGGATGTCCATGCTTGAAGAGGCGGACGAAGGTTTGCTTGTAGGTTTTAATATTAAATAAATATCTACAATATACAGCCAATCACGTTTATTATTACTATGAAGTTTCTATATTAATAACAATAAGAATCTTGTCTTATAAGTGTAAATTGTAATACCTTTCTTTGCTTCGTTTCTACGGAAGAATAAGTATGTTTAAGTTTTAAGTTAATTGTCATTTATTGATATAAACATATAATTATAATATAAACGTTAAATAACAATTATTATAATAAATCATGTTATTTCGCAGCCGCCTGATCTATACATCGATGTCGAAAACTTACTTTCAAATAAGTCAAGGCGATATACCTAAATAGATGTAAGTTACGCTGTTTTAATATTAAAACTCATTCAATAAAGTTATAAATAAACAGACATTCGTTTATTTAATACCAGAAGGTCCCTTTCATATGTATATATAGTCGCTTAATGTTTTGTTTTTGTTTAAAGTTACTACGATTTGAAAATGTTATAAATATATCTTAGTTATAAAAACAGCTCAAAGACAATAGGCATTTGAGATATCAAATTAAAGTAACATTTATGATTTGATCATTTTGTAACGAACGAAATAAATTGGGCCATTTTTCTTTTTTTTTTGTGACACGGCCATGGCACACTAAATACAGCCAAAGGTGTTTTCATAGCATGTTCCAGCATTTTTTAAATTAAAAACATTATTTTTTAAATTAAAAACCTTATACATATATAAGAAGTCAACTATCTATCAAAATTTTTTTTTTTTTTTTTTTTTATGGGAAAAGGGGCAACGGAGCAGACGGCCTACTTGATGGTAGGTAGTTACCGTCGCCCATTGACATCTGCAACGTAGATTTGCGGATGTGTTGCCGCCCTTGTTTGGGGAAAATGGGGAGTAAAAGGTGGGAAAGGGAGGGAAAGGAAAGGGTAGGAAAGGGTGGGAAAAGGGAAAGGGCAACCGGCTCTCTCACTTACCGGACGAAACGCAGCCATTAAAGACTACTTCACGCCGATCTTCTGTGAGAGGGTGGTACTTCCCCGGTCGAGCCAGCCCATGTTCGAGCTGTAGTAACTTGACTACAGCTAGGCTCTACCACCTCTAGAATTATTCATTGAATACAAATTAAGGTATAAATAATTATTGTCTTATTAAAATCGTGGGATTAAGAAATATATCAAGTGAATGTCGATTTCAATTCAATTTTATTTTTACTACAGAATCACGAAATATACAGGGTGACTGGTGAATTACTATCGATACTTGAGGACGTGATATTTGACGATCATATATGACAAAATAAAAATTAATATTACATAAATATTAATAAACTTCTAAGTAAAGTTAACCAAAGTTATGTAATTAATTACGCATCGTGTGAACACCCTACAGATTAGGTATACACACTCACTCACACATACGCGTGCGGCGGCGTGGTGTTGTATCAGCACGCCGCCGCACGCGTCCACACTCGGAACACTTGGAACGTGTCAACACTTTATTTATTTATACGGAAATTTGGTCAAAAATTAAGTGCCTATTTTTTTTACATAATTCGAATGAGAATCATGTACCGAGTATTCTCCTTAAATATTGATAGTAATTCACCAGTCACCCTGTATAAATCATGTTGTGATCCGATTGATAAAAAAAACTTTAATAGTTAAAGAAAATTAAAAAAAATGTTGAATTATAAGTATCATTAAAAAAACTTTTCCTATGAATAAAATATATACATTTTATATAGATTTTGCATAAATAAATTATTAAGTTACTCCAATACAGAACAGCGCATACGTATCCTTTTTTTATTAAACAAAAAAAGTTTTACACTAAGTCAAGACAAGGTTAAAACGTTTATATTTTAAAAATCATTGAGTACTCTTTTATTTAATTTGGTTCATTAAGAGTTTTTTTTATTTGTAAAAATCGTTTTTGCCAATAATATTCTTAATATTACTCTTAAATTGCTTACGAAGTACTAAAAAAGCAAGAATTTCGAAATCATCATCATCATCATCAGCCTATCAGAACCCACTGCTGAGCAAAGACTCTCACATGGAGAAGGTTTGAGCATTAATCACCACGCTTGTTCAAGGCGGATTGGTGATTTCAAACTTGTAATTTGAAATTATAACTCCAGGTTTCCTCACGATGTTTTCCTTCACCTTATATTAAAATATTGAATATTAATATCAAATAATTTTCCGTAATAATAATAAAAAAAAATTAATTCCAAATATTAAATGGATATTAATAAGAAATAAAGTTATGTTTTTCTCATAATATTTACTAGCTTAATTTCATCAAACGCCACGCCGATTTCCCATTGGGACGCCACTGAATGAACACATATCTTAATAGCTTAAAAGAAACTGGGGTTTTCGGATTATATTTTAACTTTATAATATACACAAAATATTTAGATATTTTTTTGTAAACTGGGATTACGAGAAGACGACTTAAAAGTGTCTTTCGACTATTTGTCTGTGAAAAAAAATAATAAATGAATCATTACATCTGAAAATAATAGTGTCTTGTAAATATTTACTTCCTAAATTTTGTTAGCAATAGGTATATCATACCAATAAGGGCCGAAACTTTTTAGTTTTTTAATTAATTCATCAAAGTTTTTTTATATAAACTAAAATTAAACGGTCGGCGTTTAAGTTACTGTTAACTTGACAAAGACCTATGTATGTTATCTGTATAAAAAAACAGTCTAGTTTCTTATAAACCTTTTTTTCTTTAATAGTCTGTTTTACTTTCAATTTCACTTAATAATCTGTGATTAATATAAAGCTTTTTAATTATATACATACATGTATAGGTTGTTCAAAGTTTATTGATATATATTGAATTAATATAAATATATCTTTGACTAGTTTTTGCAAGTGATTTCGTCTGCGTTAATTTCATAATTAGAAATGTATAGCTAACAGCTTAAAGACAGCAGAAAAGGAGATTTTGGATTTGATCAACTTATTTGTCTTTTTCAATTTCAATCGGAGTAGAAGTATCTAACTTTTCCGTCTTCTAAGCTATCTCTCCACCAATTTTCAACTATAATCCCTACCACCGTTCTTGGATTATAATTAGTGTAACTACCACGACTTTCCTTTACATATTAGATGTATATTGCATACAATATCAATGGAAAGAGAATAAAACAATGATTATTTTATTAAATGATATTATACGAGTTAGTTGCTGTGGCCTCTTGTATTAAGAGTCCAGCTAATGTGTTGTCTATTGGGCTGTTAGTGGTAGCATCTTCTTCGTCAGATGAATCGTCTATTGTTACATTATTAGTGCTAGAAGACGATTCAATTGTGTTATTTTTATTGTAAACTGAGCTAAATAAAAACTTCATTAATCTAGTACCATTGCTTTCGTTATGCGTCGTTCTATAAGTTGTTGTGTGTTCAATTTTCTTTGTATTATCAGTTTTATTTGTAATTCCTTGTTTATCGTCGAATTTTCCCGTGCTCAGTAAATTAAGTGTGTATAATTTGGTATTAATGTTAATTTCTTTATCTGAAACTTCATCATTCGTGATAGATTTCAACAAGAGGTCTTCTTCCTTGATGCTATTAGTGGACACATTAATTTTATTGTCGTCGAAGTTTAGAACTATTGTATCGTTCTGTACCAGCTCAATGAATACTTCGTCAGAGTAATTGTTCATATATCCAGCGTCATCTTTATCGTAATCTGTTTCTGTCATATTTTCTGTTCTTCTAGTTTTTCTTGATTCTTTATTCCTACACGTTTCTGGCACGACTTTTATCTCAATCGCCGGTTGACCGTTAACGTTTTTTATTTTCAAATGTATTAGTTTAAGGAGGGCGTCGTTATCTATATTTTCTTCATAAATCGATCGTCGAAGTCCTTTACTGTGTTTTACTGATTTAGTGATTAATTGGAATATCTTTTTGGAGTGATTACTCTTGGTTGTTTGGTCCATGTATATTGTTGGCGTACTCATTCCTCTATAGAGTGGATTTTTGACGGAGCTTCTAGGAAATGCATCGAAGGAGTTATAATAATCTATGGCCTTTTCTAATCCATATGCCGCGATATCATCTCCAAACACTTCCTCGGAATATACGAAGTGATCCTGAAAATATATATTGTTAAGAAAATATTCACAACAATTATTACCATAACTTCTATATCAGGACTGTTTAATTTGTTAAACATAATTAATCTTTATGAAATAATCGGCGTAAAAAATCAAGAAACTAACTAATTAGTCGACTTTATTATTAACAATATTCATTAAATGTAATATATAACGATATACATTTCCTTATCGATTATTCAATGTTAAACCATTGAGTGAATTTTAACGTTCTTTTTACATAGAAGAATATTAAAATTTCATGCATATCTACATATATCTATTGTATCTACTGTTAGTAACAATTCTTTATATTTCTGTTACTAACCGTCCCATATTTTCTCGAACCTGGATCCGGTTTCTGTGAAGGCGGATTGACAGTGGACATCAAATAGCAAAATACCCCGAATATTATTAGAAGAATTACCGAATATATGCCCACGAAACAACCAAGTTTAGCCATACTTGATACCGCGTCAAAATATTTTATCTACGTTAAGGTAAAAACATCAAAAAAAACTAAAATAAAAAGCATAATGAAAGCATAATTCTGTCACAATAACATTTACTATCACAGATAAATATTCACAGCAGATTATTAATATATATAAAAAAGACGTTTAAAATGTTGACGCAGATTTAAATTCACATAAAAATAATATATTTAAAATATTGAAACATACATTCGTAGTGTTAAAAGTTTTTGTTTATTGATAGTATACTTATAGGTTACTGAAAAAGGAACGTGTAATTAGTTTTTAGTAAAGATGACACTTATTTTAAGTATTCTATACTAGTACTACCATCGACACACACTAATGGACATACCATACGCGTATAATCTGCAGTAATTTTTTGGTTTGAAAAGAGTGAGAGAGATGGCCTATGCTTTCGGCTCATAACGTCTTAAGTACGGTACTATTTTGATAGAGATAAAGATAGACCGAAACTTCGTTTCCTCTCTTTCTTTCGGAGTGCCACAATTCTCATCTCCAAGGCATGTAAATTAGTATATGTCGATGAGTACTAGTATAATCACGTGTATAAAGTATGTATCAAGTTGTTTATATAAAATGCTGCATGTATTGTAAGCTGAGCTTGTTAGACATAAGTTCGGTGTTGAGACTGACTGCTGACCGTTCCCACGTGCCAGCACTCAGCCCGCCTGCCTTGAACGACCTTGCCGATTTACTTTTGCTTGTTACACTACATACACTTGATTGTAATGCGTTATACAATATAAATTACTTATAATTAATGTGTACTAAAATAATATTATTGTGTTTTTATTTGTCTTACAAAAAATATAAGCGAATTACGTGTGTGGTAAAAAAAATATTATATTTTAATAAAATTTTGATTACTTGAAAAAAAATAATTAAATCAATATTATTTTGATATGTCTTCTTCTACTTGGCAATTTCCCAGCTATAGCCAGGGTCTGCCTTACGTGTTGTGAATAGATTTTGGCTATTTGTTTTTACGACCACCTGCCTGACATCAACAGTCTTTGGGAAATTATTTTGATATGTATTCGACATCATTTATTTTAATATACATATGTTTTAATTAACAAAAAAATCTAATACTCTTTCAATATGAATAGTTGCACCAATATTTATTGAACGCATCGCACTTGCTAGCATTGGTAACGAAGTGTTGCCAGTTTATTACGACCCCGTTCTAAGTTGAAACCACTTTTTAATCTGCGCCTGATTCGTTCTCATTGTTTGTGTTTTAATGTATTTTGTCCTTGCGGTTGAGTACTTGTTTGATTTGAGACGAAAGTGAGACAATAAAACACTTTTATTATTCAGACTGAATAATTCTGGTTCGTTATGTATATTATATTGCGAATTTTCTAAGTATGGAATTGTTATTATAATCTACAAGTTATCACGTGTTAAAAATGAGATTTTTAAAGAATCGTCCATTGTTCCACTAGTGTCAAATTTCACATTCTGTTTCCAAGCACTTTCAAATAATTTGTGCACTAAATAATATAGCTTGTTCACCTTCACCTTTTTGTGCGCATGTGAAATGTGACGCAATGAGTACAGCCTTTACTAAACTTAGATCTAATTAATATGTGGTAGTTTTATAATTAACAATATATTTTTATAGCCAATTTTATTTATATATATTTATAACATATAATTATATATTATGATTTTATTTATTAATGACCATCACTGACTGGCTGTAATTTTATAAAAATTAATTTAGGCAAAGTAATATCATACTGCCACCGATCTTGTAACTTTGAAGGTACGAATAAATTTAATATAAAAACTATTTCAATTAATGAAAAACATTAAATACTTACTCTTTCAATTTGAAGACACAATGAATCGTATTTTCAAAACTAATTAATAACATATATACAGAAATGAATTATTTAAGTAGTATTTATGTGTTAAAACAATTTGTTAATTATATTTATAACTATTTAATATATATTTTAATAATGGTTATAATAAGTTTCAAGGTGTGTTTGATATTATTTCACTAAAATATAATGTAGAAATCGACCTTCCTTAAATAGGATTCATGTTTTCAATGATTTTATCGCAACAATTTTTTACAATCTAATCGAACCATTCTATGTTTTTTTTGGGACTTCCGAAATTGATGAAATCACTGTTTAATGTTACAAACGCTTCCAATTACCAAAATAAACTTTAAGACATTTGCAACTTTTAATTGTACAAATATGTACTTATTTGTCAATCAAAAGCTACATACATTGCGTCAAAACATTATACAATATTTTATTTATTTCTAATAAAATTCATAGAAATGATTTATACATCGAAGGTTAAGAGATAGATCATAGAAAAGATGTTTTAGATTGAAGGAGATTATATATTTGTTTAAATTTATCGTAAATAATTGTTTTAGTATTGTACTGAATAGAACTAGAAAGAATGCTAGTTAAAATTTCGGTTAAACATCTCAATATCATCATTTGAATGATGATATAATCCTACCAGTTTCCCCATTAATCTTTTTAGGTAACAATCTTCTCAACTAGTGAAGTAAGGCAAAAAATATGTAGCTTTATTATCCAAATTGGATCCACCAATCTTCAGCACCTATTGCCTATGTATGTATGTATGTTTGTATACTAAAGTAACGCAAACCTAACCAAGAAATACTGATAACTCAATGTTCCAAAGTTTTTTCATATTACATAGTCCACAAGGTACATTGCTATTCGTTTCACGACACAATTCAACAGAATAACTCAGTTTATTTATAGCAGATAAAAATGTACATAATCAATAATAACAGATCCTCATAGTCACTAAACACAACTTCAAAACGTTTAAGACGCGAGGGGTGAGAAGATAACACAAGCAAGCGATCTACGAGTAGTGACGCACGGAACGAAAATCTGTGAATCAAATTAGTTCAGAGTGAAGTTACGAAACTTAAAGCGATAGTAGTTTAAAAGTTTACCCAAATATGACCTCGGCGACTAAGAGAGTAAAATAATGCATTTTTAAAGCAGAACCCAATTGTTTTTAAACAATCTTTCCTACCAGAAACAAGCATTATACTTGTAGGAGGGCGTTGTAAGAACAGGAGGGCCTTCATGGGAACTCATACTTTGAAAGGGATAAAGTACAGTCTATTCAATACGACACCAACTCAATCGAAACACTAGATATAACTATCACTTCGATACACAGCGATTCGTCACGAGCGCGGTGCGCGGGCGTCATCCCGAACGAAACTGTATAATAAAGATGGCCGCCCTCGCTACCAACGACAATGACGCTTCACTAGGCTAACCTCAGACAGCTAAAAGTCAACCTGACGTATGATTTTTGACGGATGCGCCGTCACGGCCGGACTGACATCCGACCGTCCTCGGGCGGTTCTCGGATCAATGAACTACAGTTGTGTCTATTCCGTTCGGCATCCTGACAAACGACTAGTTACAATCATCAAAATGTGCTATGATACTTAAGACTTAAGGCGAACATCACGTAACAATTAAGCCGGACGACAACGCCTTGTCACTTAACAGCATGTAGGTTAACTGTTCACAATTAGTAGGTACTATTGGACAGGTCGGTCCTTTGGTGGATGTGACCCGGACGACAACATTCGTCTTACCACGATACTCAAAATATTCAGAACAAGTCAGCCAACGTAAATGGATCTGAACCGGACGACAACATTCGTCTTACTACCGTCTGCAGAGCATCCAGAACAAGTCAGCCAACGTAAATGGATCTGAACCAGACGACACCATTCGTCTTACTACAGTCTGCAGAGCATCCAGGACAAGTCAGCCAACGTAAATGGATCTGACTCGGACGACAATATTCGTCTTACCACAATCTGCAGGGGTTCCAAGACAAGTCAGCCAACGTAAATGGATCTGACCCGGACGACACTATTCGTCTTACCACAATCTGCAGAGCAACCAGGACAAGCCAGCCAACGTAAATGGCTCTGACTCGGACGACAATTTTCGTCTTACCACAATCTGCAGGGGTTCCAAGACAAGTCAGCCAACGTAAATGGATCTGACCCGGACGACACTATTCGTCTTACCACAATCTGCAGAGCAACCAGGACAAGCCAGCCAACGTAAATGGCTCTGACTCGGACGACAATTTTCGTCTTACCACAATCTGCAGAGGTTCCAGGACAAGTCAGCCAACGTAAATGGATCTGACCCGGACGACAACTTTCGTCTGACCAATCTGCAGAGCATCATCACACACATATCAGTGAACAATGATCGAGACGTAGACTCCAATGAGCTAGCCCCATCATCTCCACTACTTATACTCATGTGAGTGAACGATGACCCGGACATAGACTCCACCGAGCTAGCCCGTCCATCTCCACTAGACAAACTCATGTGAGTGAACGATGACCCGGACATAGACTCCACCGAGCTAGCCCGTCCATCTTCACAACCTGATCAAGCGTCGACCGGACGTGGACTCCATCGAGCCAGCCCCTGCACGCTTTGATCCATCACTACTAGAAACATCGGCCGCATCAGCCAGTTCCATCGCCACCTCAAACACACCAACTCAAACTTACACAACTCATTTATGGTTTATCAATGTTGGAGGCCATCAGAGCTACTCACTTTCATCATCTGATAAAGCTTCGTTTCCATTCTCTCCACTCCATGACCCGCCGTCTCGGCCTCCTCATTACCTAGTTCAGTGGATATGTCAACTAACCCTTCAAAGCCTCTGGGTACTGCGCGCAAGTTTTCATGAGAGTATTTTAAAGTGTGATTAGATTCATCGGTATGTTTCAGTTCGTACCTATCGTTGTCTAGAATTTTAATTATGATAAAAGGTCCCCTAAACTTTCTTTGTAGTTTAGTTTGGTAACACTCGCTACACTTAACAAAAAAACGTAATCTCCCCGAGAAAGAAAAGAAGGTTTTACTTGGGCTTTGCCTTTATTAAATTTAACTACTTC